TATATATACATACACGGAGAGAATTTTCTCTTAAAATTTACCCTGAAATCATGGTAGTTGTGGGACAACATGTACCACCAAGAATTTTATGCGAACTATTCTGATTAATATCCACTATAATAAAAAATATTAATATCTAATACATTAAAATATAAAATATGTTTGATTAATTTTACTAACAATGTAAAATATATCTAGAAAATTCCAATAACTTTTCAAAATTTACCAATCTGCTTGGTAATTTTTACCACGTTGTTTGTGTTGTGACCACACAACGAATTAGAGATTAAGTAATGCACTTGGCAACTCCGAGTTGCCTCTTATCGGAAATATGACCCTAGCGACGAAGACCGCTGACGCGAAGACCTGCACAACTTTCGGGAATGACTAAATATGGTCATCCCGGACATCACCTGCCCGTTAGACCTTTGATCGCGGTATCAAAAACGCTGACAACTAAATCAGCAATACTGAGCGGATAAAGCGCCCGCCTTTCCGACGAGCGGCGGGCAGTCTTCAGTTAACAATGAAACGGTAACGTGCGTCTAAATTATAAAAGTGTTCAACTTCGCGAGTATCAGAACTAGAATAAAGAACTGTTGTAAAATATCAAAGGGAAATATATTTGGCTCAATTGTGATACACATCGTGACGACTTATTCTCCGACCCGGTATCCTAGAATCCTGTGCCGGAACCTTCCCCGTTTACGGCACAACATTTGTAAAAGGTCTTTTGTATATTTTAAAAATTCCTTGGTTGCCAAGTTATCCCAAGTTTGTAGTGAATTTAAGGGTAAAATATAACAAAAAATTATCTCCGTGTATATATTTATGTATATATATGTGAAACATTTTAATCAATCTATGCAAATATCTCGAAAAGGAGTTTTTCAAAAAAATCTTTTAAAAAAATGGTTTATGGCTTCAAGAGGGACATAAGATGGTGTTATTGATTTGACCTTAGTCGTTTGAAGATCACATGAAGATCACCTTCAATTTCTTAAATGAAACCCCTCATATTATGGTATATCGTTATGTCCCCCTTGAAGTCAAAAAACTTTTGTATGAAACATTTGTTTGAAAAACTTCTCCTTTTCTGAAATATTCGCGTGGATTGATTAAAATGGTCTACCCTGTATATATATATATATATATATATATATATATATATATATTGTTACACGCCAACGAGCGTTCGCCACACAATCTCTCACTTTCGCACTCGCGGCGCGTGTCACGACACTCTCGCACAAATAAGATGACTCGTTTAGAAAATCAGTAGCTCTTTATTACGACTCTCGGTATAATAGAGGAGCTCGGGACGATACGTCCGAACGAGACGCGTCCCAGAGTAAATCTGAACATCAGGTATAACAGGAAAATCAATAGTTAATTGAGCATCACGCAATCAATATTAGTAAACAAGCTAAGGACGGTCGTCCGTCGCTAAGGACGGTTCGCGACGCGACATTAAATAACGGGCGACTCGCATATACGCGCGACACGAGGACAGCACGGGCGTAACACTACCCCCCCTCTTCCAAGATTGTCGCCCCAGACAATCCGGGAGGGTAGTCAACTTGCGGTAGCTTCTTTTGTGCGCCCCAGGGCGCCGAAACAGTCCTTGCCCTTCTCGAGCTGCTGCTCCAAGTTACCGGGCTCTGCTTCTCTTGGCCCCCGGTAGCCGCACGCTAGTCTCCTCCCGAATCTCTTCCGGGGCGAGCTGGCCAGGCTCCCCCTCCACGAAGATGACTTCTGTTCCGCTCCCCCGGCGTATCCCTCGCTGTCGGCTTCCCACGACGCCGTCCCAAATTTTCAGACAAGGGGGGGGGGAAACTCGCGTGGACCCAACGTCTTTTCAGACACCCCGAGTCCCTGCCTCAGCATTTGCTCAACGTCCCACGGGAAAACCACGCTCAAAAACCGTGGGCGAGGCAGTCTTCTTAAAAAAAAACTTCCTTCGAGGAGTCTTCGGCCGATGTTCTGCCATGGTCCCCTCTTCGAGCACCATTGACTCCCTCTAGGAAAAGAACATTAAACGCAGTAACGGAAAACCAAACATTAAAACATTAAAGAAAAACCAGAACCCATTTCCTCAGAATATTTATTAACCATTCATTTCGAAAACACGATTGTCAATAAATATAACCCACCCTCCGGGTTCCGACCTACTCTAACTGCTCAACCCAATTTCCTTTCAGAATACATAGCTAATCTATCCGAATGTACAACCTTACTCCTGTGACGAGGTGATTTCCGAATGCAATAAACCACGTCACTGAGTTTCTTAATTATCAAAAAGGGTCCCTCCCAATTGCTTTGCAACTTGGGAGCCTTCTCCTTAACTCTTCGGGGATTGAAAAACCAGACTCTCTGCCCCTTCTGAAAAAGAACCTTTCTAACTCCGCGATCGTAGCGAGCCTTCATTCGAGCCGATTTCAAATCCAATTGTTTCCGTGCATTAGTATGAATTCTCTCTAATTTTTCTTTCAAATTTCTAACAAAATTTCCGACCAGTGGCGGCTCCTCAGCATGAAATTCCGAAGGATTCCCTCGCAACAAGTCTGTAAGTAATCTGAGATCTCGGCCAAAGTATAATTCTGAAGGAGTAAGTCCAGTTGACTCGTGTTTCGAGGATCTGTACGCTAAAAGATACATGGGGATCCACTGATCCCAATCTCTTTGATTTTCAGAAATATACTTCGCTAGATAATTAGTTATGGTCTGATGCTGTCGCTCTACTTGTCCATCGGACTGAGGATGTAAAGCTGTAGTTCTTGTTTTCCTTATCTCCAACAGCTTCATCAATTCCGAGAAGAGTCTTGATTCAAAATTCCGCCCTTGGTCGGTATGTACCTCAGTAGGCACTCCATGTCTAGAAACGAACTGGTTTATAAAGATCTCTGCTACCGTTTTTGCCCTCATGTTCCTCAAGGGGAAAGCTTCCACCCATTTTGTAAAACAATCCACTATGACAAGAAGGAATCTATTCCCAGATTTCGTCAACGGCAGAGGACCCAGAATGTCCATCTGAACTCTCTCCAATGGAGCTCCGACATTGAAAACTTGTAGAGGAGATTTTCCTTTCCCTGAGGGCCCTTTCCTAGCAACGCAGACTTTGCAGGTTCTGCACCAGTCTTCCACGTCTTGTTTGCAGGTTGCCCAATAGTATCGTTTCCGAATTTTTTCCAAGGTTTTATTTATTCCAAAATGACCTCCGGACGGAGAGTCGTGTAACTCCTCCAGTATTCGTTTAACAAGTTTCCGAAGAACTATAAGTTGAAGAAAACTGGATCGAAGATTCGGAGCTTCCCATCGCTTATAGAGTATTCCTTCTTCTAGTACCAAAGCATCCCAATAAGACAAATAAATTTGAGCGGAAACATCTTCCGCAGCTATCTCGGTTCGTGCCGGACGAACCCCTGCTTCCTTTCCATGAAGTATAACTAAAATGCTCGGATCTGTCCTTTGTTCACGACTCCATTCTATGGGATCTCCTGTCGCTAATTCAATGCGGGCGAGTCCTTTTTCCAACGCCACGAAATTTTTCCTTTCCACCTTGGCGCAATATTCACAACCAATCGATTCACATGACCGTCTCGACAGCCCGTCGGCATTCTTGTGAGAAAGTCCTTTCCTATAAGTGACAATAAATTGATATTGCTGGAGTCTCTCCAGCCAACGAGCCAACTGTCCATCCAAATCCCTGAAAGACATAAGCCAACGCAAAGAAACATGATCCGTACGGATCAAAAATTCACGACCCAAAAGATAATGGCGGAAAAACTTAATAGAGTCAACGATCGCTAAAAGTTCACGACGAATCACGCAATAATTCCGCTCAGCTTTGTTGAGCACACGACTAAAATACGCAATGATCCTCTCCTCCCCCTCCTGTTCCTGCGATAAAACCGCGCCAATTCCTATATTGGAGGCGTCAGTGCCAAAAACGAAACCGCCTTCTCCCTTCGGAAAAGAAAGAATCGGGGGAGAGGATAACATTTGCTTCAATTCATCAAAAGAATTCTGACATTTCCCATCCCAAGTAAACTTAACGTGATTTCCCGTCAACACATATAAAGGTTTAGCTATCGAAGAAAATCCTTTGATAAATTTCCGATAGTAAGAACAAAACCCGAGGAAGCTCCTTAATTGAGTCTTCGTATGAGGAACTGGCCATTTCTCCACGGCAGCGACTTTTTCAGGGTCTGTGGAAATTCCCTCGGCCGAAACTAAATGGCCCAAATACTTTACTTTCTTTGCAAAGAATACACATTTTTTAGGATTTATCTTTAAATTTACTTCTTGCAAGCGTAAGAATACTTTCTCTAAATTCCTTAACATTTCTTCAAAAGTTTTCCCGAAAATTATTATGTCATCTAGATAAACCAAACAAATCTTAAATAGTAAACCTTGCAAGACTTTCTCCATTAGGCGTTCAAAAGTTGCCGGAGCGTTACACAACCCGAAAGGCATCACCGTGAATTGCCATAGTCTTCTGCCGAAAGAGAAGGCCGTCTTTTCTCTGTCCTCAGGACGAATTTTAATTTGCCAATATCCACTTTTCAAATCTAAAGTACAAAACCACACGTTACCTGATAGATGATCAAATATATCGTCAATTTTGGGGAGGGGATATGAATCTTTTTCCGTTAAGGCGTTTACAAATCGATAATCCACACAAAACCTCAGTGTTCCATCTTTTTTCCGCCTCAATACAACAGGGGAAACCCAGGGGTTATTTGATTCCTCGATTACTCCACAAGCCCTCATTTCCTCGATAATTTTACCTACCTCCCCTCTCATTTGAAAAGGAATTCGTCGGGGTACCTGTTTTCTGGGGAGAGAGTCTTGTACATTTATAACATGTTCGATAACATTACAATTTCCCGCAACAATATTCTCGGAAAATACATCGCAAAATCTTTCAAGAAATTCAGCAAAAAGTTCTTTCTGAGTCGTATCAAAATTCACAGAATTATTCTCGAAGAGTTCTTTCAAGGAAAATGGGACTTTATTTGGAATATTCTCAATGCGAGCTAATTGTATTCCCGATCCTGCAGTCTGAAATGCAGGATCGAAAATTTCTTCCAAATTCGCCTTTTTAAGAAAATCCACTCCTAAAATACAGTCGTCATTAATTTGAGCAACAAGCAAGGGGATCTCAAAAGAATATTTTCCTATTTCCACTTTAGCTTCTACTTTACACTCTACTGTAACTTTCTCCCCGGTAGGATATCTCAAATTTATCCCTTCAAAAGGAAGCTTTTCCTTCCCTGCTTCTACAAATCTCTTACTGAGAATGGATACGTCAGAGCCCGTATCAACCTTGAAAGAACACTCTTTCCCATCAATTTTTCCATCATAACAAAAATAACAACAAGGCTTAATTCTACTTTGTTTAAAACCAGTTTTATTTAACAGAACATTTTCAGAAAAAATAAACGGGGTATTAACAATACGAGCCAAACCTTCCCCGCCAAGTTTGACTAAACCGTGTTTCCCCTTTCCTGCGGGCACTCGGACCGGAAATGTCCGGTCTTACCACAGGTCCAACACTCACCGCGACTGGCGCTTTTGCTGCCACGCGAATTTCCCCTCTGCTCATTTTTTTCTTCTTCAGCTTGTTTCCCGTTCCCTTCCGTGCCCTTTTTCCCATTAAAATTATTATTCTGTCCCTCCTTCGGAAAACTTTTATTCGTCTTCTCCTTTTCTCGAGCATAATTGTCCCCTTGAATTATTTTCAATGCTTTTGCTCGCTCGACTGCCCGACTTAATGAGGTTATCCCCTCTATTTGCAACGTACGTCGAACAAAATTATCGGACACAGCCGAAACGAATTGAGAACAAGCAATCTTATCACGGATCTCATAGGGGCACTCGGGGTACGCAAGACGAGATAGACGCTCAATATCGAAACCGAGAGTAGCTAGATCCTCCCCGAATCTCTGTCTGCGATTGGTGAGAGCGGAGTAACTATTCTGCGTTAAATGACCCTCCCCAAAACGTAGCTCGAGCTTCGCTTCCAGCTCCGCAAAATCTAGACAGTCGACATCTTGCACGGTCTCTAAAATGGAGCGCGCTTTTCCCCTCAGACTCGAGGCTAACGCAACAGTTTTCGTCGCGTTATTCCAAGAATTCGCTCGCGCAATTAGATTAAATTGTGACAGATATTCATGAAGTGGGACTGTCCCGTCATACGTATCGGGCTTCACTTTATAGCCGAGCCCGAGGCCCGCTCCCGCGGCAGCGTCTCCTGCGTACGAAATCTGATTCCCGACGCTAGCCACGTTTGAGCCCACCCGATACAAATTTTCACCCGCATTTCCCGCGGTCAAGTTTCTTTCGGTCAAGCGCGCGATATTTCTTTGTGCGTCACTCGTGGTCTCGATTCTTTCGGCCGGGCGTGAGTCGCTTTCACTCGCGTTCCCCGCGTTTTTTTCGGTCAAACGCGCAACATTTTCGCGCGCGACTCCCGCGATTCCGCCTCTCACGGCCGGGCGTGTATCGTTTTCACTCGCGTCCCCCCCGGACGCGCTTCTCCCGGTCGGACGCGCGACATTTTCACGCGCGTCTCGCGGCTCCTCGCCGGCTGCCTCCCCCCGATCGCACATCTCGAGACGCACTAAAATTGGAGTGACTTAGCTGGTTTTGAGTCATCCCGCGTAGACGATGGAGTTCTTCCTCCTGACGGCGAATCGTCGCCGCGAACTCCTCCTCACGCCGGGCCTGCTCCACACGTAGGAGTTGGACCTCCTGTATTACGGTCTGAAGCGTTTCAGTGAGTGACGCAATCGCCGGCGTCTCACTGGTATCCCGGTGAGGCGTCTCCAGCCGGAGCCTCTTCCGTGTGTTCCTTGTATCCATCTTGCTCGTTGTTCGTCCGATCCCGGACGAGCCCCCAAAAATGTTACACGCCGACGAGCGTTCGCCACACAATCTCTCACTTTCGCACTCGCGGCGCGTGTCACGTCACTCTCGCACAAATAAGATGACTCGTTTAGAAAATCAGTAGCTCTTTATTACGACTCTCAGTATAATAGAGGAGCTTGGGACGATACGTCCGAACGAGACGCGTCCCAGAGTAAATCTGAACATCAGGTATAACAGGAAAATCAATAGTTAATTGAGCATCACGCAATCAATATTAGTAAACAAGCATCCGTCGCTAAGGACGGTTCGCGACGCGACATTAAATAACGGGCGACTCGCATATACGCGCGACACGAAGACAGCACGGGCGTAACACTATATATATACACATATATATATATGTATATATATACAGGGTGTCCGAAAAATCGCCTACTCCACTTCGGGAGGTGATTCGGGACCCAAAAACAAGCAAAAAAGTTCATACAAACATAGGTCCGGAAATGAGCCGTTTCCGAGTTATAGCCACTTTTATGTTCAAAAATCGTAAATTTTTATTTTCATCTCGATTTGGAAAAGACTGGATGTATAATCTTCTTGCCTCGGCAGCATTACTTTGAGCAAGACCATACATAAGATGCATATCAGCTAATTCATTAAAACTTAAACGATCCATTGATGAATACGGAAAGATTAGATACAGCCTAAAAATAAGGTGTTGTTAAATAACAATTTGAAACTTATTGAAAAGCCGTGATTTACTTACTGATTTTGAATAGGCGTGAAAACAACTGATTTCAAGTAGCCGTGAAAACAACTGATTTCTTTTAAAAATAATGTAATCGTATTTACAAATATTGAAAAATTGAAAAAAAATAAAAAAATTAAAATTAAAAAAATTAAAAATATTTAAAAATAAAAATTTTTAATTTAAGAAATAATTAAGAAAGAGTGATACCAAGCGGATTCTAAATTACGATTTTTGAACATAAAAGTGGCTATAACTCAAACGGCTCATTTCCGGACCTATGTTTGTATGAACTTTTTTGCTTGTTTTTGGGTCCCGAATCACCTCCCGAAGTGGAGTAAGCAATTTTTCGGACACCCTGTATAATGGGATGATTGGAGATAAATCTTTAAATCAGTTATCTGTGACGATACGCGTATTCGTCATCAGCGTTACGGCCCTGACGGCCGCCTAGCACTTGTTCAGCGTGCGGCCCGGTGCCCGAGCGGTGAGGCAGCCCCCACAACACTCGCGCTCGGGGTATAAATAGGGGACTCGAGCCGGCTCGTGTCACATGTCCTGTCTAGTGTCCCTTGAATACAGAGTCTGGCCAATAGGCCCCTCAAAATGGCGTACATACTATACTCAATACATATATAAGTGATTGTGAGTGGTTCCTGCTGTGGAGTGTTCCGTATTTTCTGAAGTTTTCTTATTGTAAAAAGGTAAATAAATAGTGTATGTGTATATACATATAAAGTAGGTAAGGTATGGGCATTCTAACCCAAC